ATATTAGGTAATTCCGTAAATTTTATTTAAGGAAATAATGAAAAGCAATAATAATAGTTTATGTTTAGTTTAATAAAAAGTATATTATATGTTTATATGGACCAACATTTTTCTCTAGTAAATTTGAGAAGCATTCTCATGATGACACGTGGCTACCAAAACATGTTGTAATGCTTCTCAAATAATATATAAGGGATAAGTAGCAGTTAAAATATTTGACTACCGCGTTCTCTCCATCTCTCTCCATCTCTCTCTCACACAGACAGAGAATACCTGGGAATGGAGGAGTCACGAGATTCGCCGCCGGCGCAACACGGCTTCTACATGCCGGCTGAGTGGGAGCCTCATGCTCAAACTTGGATCGGTTGGCCTGTAAATCTCCTCTCTCTCTCTCTCTCTCTCTCTCTCTCTCTTTTCTCTCTCTCTCTCTCTCATCTCCCTATGTGTAGAGAATGTTTGTTCCTGAGAAAAGTCATCGTTTTTAACCTTCTGCACAACCTTCCTTTTCAAATCTTCTTTCTCTGTTCATGATTTTTATGAGTTCTCTGTTTCGTAATGAATTTTGATATGTTTATGAAGGTTTTAGCTTCTTAATTACGTATTCCATTTTTTTTTAATGTTCAAATACCATTTTGAGATTATGAGATCTGATTATGTTCAGTCACATCGATGTCTCTATTTTGGATACTAGACAAATATATTTGACCATGTGATGATGATGTTAAACTACTGTAATTTCTGATTGCATGTATCAAACAGTGTTAGTCCTAACCCTGAAACAATGTTTTTTTTTTTGTTGTGATTTTTGGATGTTGGTTTTTATTCTGACATAAACAATGGATACAGGAACGGCAAGATAACTGGCGTCACAACGCTTTACCTGCACAACGAGTGTTTGTAGATGTTGCAAAGACTATCTCAAAGTTCGAACCTGTTACAGTCTGTGCAAGCCCCTCTCAGGTATTTAAAGAAAATAATCTCTTCAAGTTTTATATACAAAGTCGTACTAAATTAGTTTTTGCTTCACTGAATGTTAGTGGGAGAATGCAAGGAAACAGCTTCCAGAGGATATCAGAGTTGTTGAAATGAGCATGAATGATTCTTGGTTCCGTGACTCTGGACCTACTGTTAGTTCTTTATTTTCTCTTCCTTTTTTTCTACTATCTTACTACCATCTGTTCTGAACTGTGGTTGCTTTACTCTCTCTCTCTTTGTACAGTTTGTTGTAAGGAAAAGACCATTAAAGCTCAGTTCTATTAACCGAAACATCGCTGGAATCGACTGGAACTTCAATGCTTGGGGAGGTAAGGCTTTATCTCTTACCAAACATTCATTTGTTGTAACTTCTTGACAAAATTTTGGATTATGTCAATGGCAGGAGCTGAGGATGGCTGTTACAATGATTGGACTCATGACCTTCTTGTTTCCAAAAAGGTAAGCTATATATTCATTCACTCTCACTAGCATGTTTTCAAGTATTAATTTACTAATTTCTTCCCCCCATATCAATTAGATTCTCTCTGTTGAGCGGATTCCAAGGTTCCAACACTCTATGATTCTTGAAGGAGGCAGCATCCATGTCGATGGAGAAGGTTCGTATATACATCTCATAACATCAACCTTCAAAAACTCAAATTAACCAGAAAAAAAAAAAGACAAAACGCCTGAGTTTCTGTTTTACTTAGGAACCTGCCTTGCCACAGAAGAGTGTCTCTTAAACAAAAACCGAAACCCTCACATGAGTAAAGAACAAATAGAGGAAGAACTCAAGAGATACCTCGGAGTACAAACATTCATCTGGCTTCCACGTGGTCTTTACGGTGACGATGACACAAACGGTCACATTGACAACATGTGCTGTTTTGCTAAACCGGGAGTTGTGTTATTATCCTGGACAGACGATGAAACCGATCCTCAATACGAAAGATCTTTAGAAGCTCTTTCGGTTTTCTCAAACTCTGTAGATGCTCGTGGGAGGAAGATTCGAGTCGTTAAGCTTCATGTCCCTGGACCGCTTTATATGACGGAAGAAGAAGCTTGTGGAATCGTTCAGGAAGGTGAAGCTAAAGCAAGACTTGCGGGGACGAGACTCGCAGCGTCTTATGTGAACTTCTATATTGCTAATGGTGGAGTAATCGTGCCGCGGTTTGGTGATGTGAAACGTGATGAAGACGCTATTCGTGTTCTTTCAGAGACGTATCCTCATCACGCGGTAGTTAACAATAGTCTCTTTGGTTTATAAATGGAAAGTGTTGATAGTTTTAATCGTTTTTGATTTTTTTTTGAAGGTTGTGGGGATAGAGAATGCAAGAGAGATTGTTCTAGCTGGTGGTAACATACATTGTATTACGCAGCAGCAGCCGGTGGAGCCTAGTTCCGTCGCCGACAATGGTCACTGATAATGGTGTTCTTCACGAGCTGATGCTGGATTTGAAGTACTGCTGTTCCCAGGGGTTTAATGAATCCTGGCCGTTAGTTTATTTTTTTTATTCATGGGAGCAAACGAGAACTGTACGATTGTTACATTTATAGCTCGTTGACTAAAGAATAATGTTATTTGGTTTTAAATTCTGATCGGTCAGACCATTCCTGTCGGTTATACTGATAAAATAATTCTTAGTACAAAACAGGAAAACAGTTAAGTATAACATTGTCCTGCTAATTACAAACTAGTTTTCATTTAATCCTAAATAATGTTTTTATATTTAGCAAATGTGATACTTTCTCCCATTTTAGGTTTTTGTAAAAAATAATTAATTTTACACACTTTTTATATAAAAACATAATTATCTGTACATCTAATCATATTTTAACCAATATAAACATAAATTAAAGAATAAAATTAATAAATTTTGCAAATGAAAATCGAAAACAATACATATATTATAGAACGAAAAAAATTCTCTACAATAACACTTACGAGGAAATAATATCTTATTTTAGCAAATATAAAAAATTAAATATTTACTTAATTTGTGTATACATTGTATATTAGATAATCGAAAGAGTTATATATAAGCAAATTTTTAATCAAATTACTGTACTAAAAAAGCTGTGAAATTACAAATTAATTAAATAATTAATAAATTAATGAAAACACGGAATGACGCGTCAGTCTCATATTAGTATCTGACATGAATGCTTCAACTCTAATCTCTTTCACTTCCGTATAATTAAACAGACACAGAGAATAATAAAGAGAGACACGTGGCAAAACTCGAGATCTGAAGAAGTATAATCTTCTCATCATCAGATCGAAAAGGGATTCAAACGTTGGTGTGAGAGAGTAATGGGGTGTTCGTTATCGGGATTGAACTCGCTTTACGACGCAGTGAACGGAGGAGGAGACGTGTGGATCAATGAGAATCGTTTCAGGATCGTGAGGCAGCTCGGCGAAGGAGGCTTCGCGTTCGTCTTTTTGGTCAAAGAGATTATCTCCGATGCTTCCTCCGGTGATGGTTTGGCCAAGAAAGTGAAAGATCCTGCTCATCTCTCCGGTTTAGTATTTTGAATCACATCTCTAGAATCCTTGATCTGCGTTATATGAATAAAATTGTTCCAGTAATCAAACTAATTCAATGTAGGAATCGTGTGAATGTGTTTAGACAAGACAGTTTCGATCTTTTTGTAGTTGTGTCTGGAATTCTGGTGGTCATGATCTTGTTTTTTGAGTTGTTTCTGACGAATTAATTGAGCTAGGGAAGACGTAGTGATTACAATGAAATCATTTTAGTATAGTTTGATTTTGAATCAATCAATTTGATCTTTTAGAGCTGTTTGGTTAACTATGTATCTCTGACATTATGGTATTCCTGAACTCGGTTTCTCATTTTCAAAATGACTTCAGACAAGACAGTTTCAATCTTTGTGTAGTTGTGTCTGAAATTCTGGTGGTCATGATCTTGTTTCTTGAGTTGTTTCTGACGAATTATTCGAGCTAGGGAAGACATAGTGATTACGGTGAAATCATTTTTAGTATTGTTTGATTTTGAATCAATCAATTTGATATTTTGGAGCTGTTTGATTAACTATGTATTTGACGTTATGGTATTCCTGAACTCGGTTTCTCATTTTTGAAATGACTTCAGACAAGACAGTTTCGATCTTGTGTAGTTGTGTCTGAAATTATGGTGTTCTTGGTCTTGTTTTGTAAGTTATTTCTGACAAGTTAATTGAGCTAGGTACTAGTTGACTTAGATGATAGAGATTACAGTGTATTCAATTTTGTTTAGTTTGACTTTGAATCAATGGATTTTGATCTTTTGCAACTGTTTGATGTTATTTTTGAGCTCTGTTTCTCATTGTTTCATTGGCACTACAACTTGACTAATTGAGCTTTTTTCATGTTTGTCCTATGACTTAAGCTAATTTTTTTTTTAAATGATTTTTGGTTGTAGCTGATGGAACTTATGCTATGAAGAAAATTCTGATCCAGAACAAGGAGCAGCTCGAATTGGTTCGGGAGGAGATTCGTGTTTCGTCACTCTTCAACCACCCTAATTTGCTTCCTCTCCTTGACCATGCCATTATTTCCGTTAAGGTAGACTAAGAACCGCTCTGAAACTTCCATGGCTGATGTTTTTTTTTATAGTTTTTCTCATGTAAAGTCTGATTTAGAAAGTGTGTTACTTTTGTATCTGGTTAGGACGGTCAAGAAGGAGGTTGGAAACACGAGGCCTTCTTGTTATTTCCTGTTCATCTCGATGGGACCTTACTGGATAATGCAACATCTATGAAGGCTAAAAAGGAAACATTCTCAACAACTGATGTTTTGCAGATATTTCGTCAGGTATTATATCAAACTCTCTTTTTAAATCCATCTTTGGTTTTCTCCTTGACAGATAAAAAAAAACTTTGGTTTTATGCAATTTTCTTTTTTCATATTTTGCAACTAAGTATTATTACAATGTTACTGATTTAGTGTTTATTCCACTGCAGCTTTGTGATGGACTCAAGCACATGCACTCTCTGGATCCACCATATGCACACAATGATGTCAAACCTGGTAACGTGCTTTTAACACGTAGAAAAGGACAGCCTCCTCTTGCTATTTTAATGGATTTTGGGAGTGCTCGTCCTTCACGCAAGCAAATCCGCTCCCGTCAAGAGGCCCTACAGTTACAGGTTCTATTCATATACCCATCACAAGTCTCTGAGATCTTCCAATTTTTTGATTGATCTTGAACTTGTTATGTTCTTTGACTTTTATAGGAGTGGACATCTGAACATTGTTCAGCACCGTTTAGAGCTCCAGAGCTCTGGGATTGTCCAAGCCATACAGATATCGATGAGAGAACAGACATTTGGTCACTAGGCTGCACACTATACGCAATAATGTAAATACATTTATCATCCTTACAAGATCAAACAAGCCATGTCTTTAGTTAGTTCTAAAGAGAGTTTTTTTTTGTGGCAGGTATGGTGTGTCTCCATTTGAATATGCACTTGGAGAATCTGGTGGAAGTCTACAGCTAGCAATCATGAACGCTCAGGTAAAATGGCCAAACGCAGGACCAAAGGCTTCTTATCCTGAAGCTCTTCACCAGTTTGTGACTTGGATGCTGCAACCTCAGCCTGCGGTTCGACCAAGCATTGACGCTATAATCATCCACGTCGACAAATTGATTGCAAAATTCACCAAATGATTCATATTTCTGGTGGTTTTCTAAAGAGGTGAAAGGAAAGAACAGAAGAGAAAAGGGTTTCTATATATTGTCTTCTTCTTTTTTTTTTTTTGTGTTTAGCGATTTTGAAAAAATCCCATATTAGATACACATAGTTTTAACAGTCGTGGTAATGTTGCTATCTTCGTAATGTATTTTGAACAATTAGGATTCTTTTTTTTTTCTTGTTTTTTGGGGTGGAATCAATAAATTTACTTAAGACCATCTCATCAATAAATTACACAAATCAATTATAATCACCAATCTCGAAAAATGTAGGACAATCACAACTTGATCTTTTGTTGTCAACATCTACGGCTTGATTGACATTCAATATATTTATCATATGTTAATACATTTTAAAGGACTTTCACTAGGTACAGTGCAGTGGTACACAAATACATACCCGTAGTTACACATATGAAGGAGTTATTATATCCTAATTTTGAAATGAAATTCTTTTTTCTTATAGAAATGGACTAAAAGACAAATTCCACATTATATGTGTACGACGCTTTACTTTAACGGAGTTGAGTAACTTCAAAAGAAACAAAAGACATAAATAACGTAAGTCAATTTCATGGAAGATAAATGTCTGATCACTATTTATTTCACTCAGTAAAATCATTATTCGAGACGTAACTTGTGTCTTCTGTAACTCGAAAGTGAATAGATCTACAGTCCCCCACTTCCCACACTATCAAAATTATGATCATGCCTTATAGCATATACGGATATACCTATATCTTTCCTTTTTCAGTAACTTCTAATAATCAACCAATAAGAGTATAAACCCAACATTTATCTAATAAAAATAGCATTTGGATATAACACTATTCTAAAAATATCAAATATACCAAACGTTCATCATTGTTATTTGTTAATGCAATGGCAATTCCTGTTTTATAAAAAAAGTTGTGTGTTTTCTCCTAATCGTTTTGACTTTTGTACTTGTTGATAATAATAACTAGTAACGTTATAAAAGGCTCACAAGCAGTTTTTAACATCCCAAGATTGTTGTTGTTAGAAAACCTCCCACAAAAATTTAGCATTTCCAGCAGAGTCGGCCTTGGGCCCAAGCAAAAGAAACATGTGCTTGCGGCCGCCAGAAAATATATATATAATCGGTCACATTTTGAAATAAAAGGTGCCTGTAGCGTAGTGGCTAAATAGCCATTGTTCAAATACCGGGACCACAGTTCGATTCCTCTCTCCTGCAGAATATTTTTTGCGGCCACTTTTTTCATTTTGGCTTGTGGCCTTTAAAATTCTAGGCCCGGCTCTGATTTCCAGTCAGTGGCGGATGCAGAGAAGAGTTTCATATGAGGCAAGTTGATATTATTCAAAAAATTAAGGATAAATTTACTCAAATCAAACGGGGCATAACTGAAATTGTTCAAGGTTTTGCTTAAAATTTTGAAAAAGCATAGGGGGCATTTCCAGTCCTCGTCATTTTGAGTTAACATAATAAGTATCTTTAATAATAAAGTGATCTATTTTTTTTTTTTGAAACACAGTCTTCTATTTAAATTAATATTGAAACTTATACTTAAATTGCCATGAATTTTCAGTATTCTCATTTTTTCTCTTTTTTGACAGAAAAATTGGACCATTTCTCTTTTTTTTTTATCTGATCGTCCATAATTCGTATACATGTCAGCATGATCTTGCAAAACAACAAAACAAAACAAAACATTTGAGCCAAAATATACTTGTGAAGAAGATTGAATTAAATTAGTTATGATATGGTTAAACTTTCTGCATATTCAGAAACACTTATATATATATAAGTATTTAATTTGCTGTTGTGACAAAGGAAGCGAGAAATGTTTGAACTATTGAGGAAGAGAAAGGACTTCATAGCAGTAAATTAAAGGAAGACAGAACAGTGCAAAGTCACAGGGATATCATTTTTGGTACTCTTTATTCAATGTTCACTACACATCTTCCAATATTTTTTCACCAGATTTAAATTATTCTTCCCCAACCATACTGATTCAATTGAAGAGGTCAATTCGCAAAAACATAAATTTTGTACTAATAAAAAAGATCGGAAACATTCTTCGCTTGCACTTTCGTTCGCTATAAGTGTTGCCCTATGTACTTGCATAACTCATATTAAAACTTAAAATAACGTTTGATTAGCATTGGTATATTGTATATGTACATACGATTCTATACTCTCGTTTGGGATATAATATTTTATAGAGCAACCAAACCGGAAAACCCTAAAGGCATCGAATTTTACAAACTAGTCATATTACAATCACCTAACCGGTTTAAACCATCTCTAATGTTTTCATGGTGTATGTAGAAGAATGGTTATGCATTTCGATAATTTTTTAGTCACTCTTTATTTTCTGCATGTAAAAGGTTACTTTGCAATATAGTATAACTCGATGCGACCTCTGCGAGATAAGAGATTTCACTGTCTCTCCTTCGCGGCTTCTAGCTGGACTCTTGCTGTTCTCATCAACTCTCTCCATTTATAGCGCACACACACACACTCTCTCTCTCTTCTCTCGTTTTGACTTTGTAAGTCAATTTTTGCTGAGATTTTTTTTTTCTTGTGAACGTGTGTATTTTCCTTGGCATTCTTTTTTTTTTTTGAACATTTTCTTACCTCCTTGGCATTCTTACCAAAACTTTAACTACGAAAAGTATATATATGAATGATAAGAGTTTTATTATGATTATGCAAACCTAATCTGAGTAGCTTGAGTAAAATAGTTTTTTATTGGTCACATATGGTTTCAGATATCCAAACATATTATTTTGTAATGAATATTCTATATGAACTAACCCATGTGTTTTAGCTATATGTAATTGGATTTCTTCGTCGGCTATTTATAATCATATAGACATATATGGACTGACCTGTTTTATCTTACTTTAAATTAATTTTTAGTTCAATATTTCAGTTATAGTACTGCGTCTCTCCAAGCTCTAGTTTGATTCTTTCTTTTGCTACAATGTTTTCTATTTTTCCTTTTTTTTTGTAACATCTATTTTTCCTTTTATTTTGAAAAATAGTTATTGAATGGTATGTTTGTCACTTGTCCTATGTTATTTAATTTGTATATAAATTCGGGCTGTGAGCTGTAGTTTGGTCAGAAAGAGGATGAGAGATAAATAGCATTTCTCAAGTGTTTTAAATACAATCTCTTCTCCATCTCCATCTCCATCATTTCCACCCAACCCCTCCCCTTATCTTCTAAGAAGTCAGCCTCTAACTATCGCTCAAATTCCGAAAAAAAATCAAGTTACGTCCATTTCTCTTCTCTTTTTATGACATACCATCCCATTTTTTTTCAAAAAGGCAAATATATAAATCTTAACTCTTAGGTCGTTTTTTTTTTGTCTTTTACCATCAATGCATATACATACACACATGCTTACATGCTTTATATACGTGCATATATATATATACATGAACATATATAAATATGCATATAGGATTGTTTACTTAATATCTCAGCTTCATGTTGTTATCGTTTTAGGGTTTCGTTTTGGTGGTCCTTTTTTAGATTTGTTGGGTCTCTTTGTTTCTTCTTCTATTTTTATTATATATAGAGACACTAAATAGAGTTGTAACTATATATAAATGGATTCTGGAAAGATCTTTGGATCCGATGAGGATTCTCGCAGCTGTGAATCTGGATGGACAACGTATTTAGTCTCACCCCATGATCTTGACTATGATAATTACTCTGATGATGGAGATAGCAGTGGTGGTGATTCAATGGATTCTGATGCATCTTCTGGTCCAGTGAAAGCAACATCCTGTCTCAAGCTTCCTCAAGAGACTACGGAGCCAAACTTTATAAAGCAAAAGAAGAAGAATGCTAACGAAGAGAAGGTTCTGGTGGAGACTAGGGTTCTGAACGACATCGATGATGATGGTGACGATCATGGATATGATGATGGTGACAATCATGATTATGATGATGGTAATGATAGTCACAGTGCAGTTCATACTTACGTTGGTTCGGTGAGAAAAGACGGATTGCTTTGAATTTATGTTTATGTTAAATTAATAATATGTTCCTGTATTTTGTTTTAACTTGATTTGATGTTATGTACTTATGTTGTGTCGTTGTGTTTTTTGCTTTAATGTTGAAAAGGTATTTTCTACCTGATGATTTGCTAATTATTTATCATATATAGCCTATTTTATTAATACTCACTATGTTATTCTATTAAAGAAGTGTTAAAAAATCTCAAAGAGATCATAGCTAGTACTGATACAGTGATGAAGATGAAGAGATGATGATAGTTTGGGTCTTTAGATATGTTCATCAGTACATTCATTGTAGGTTTCTTTGTGATCACCATATAGTACCCCATTATGGAAATACATATATGCCATTTTACATTCTTACTACTTATATCTATACTATCTCTATATATATAAATATATACAGGACAAGAAATATGAAATCTTGTTTGTGATAACAAAATAATATAATATATATGAAATTCTACTTAAGCTAGAAGAGAAATGTAACGAACCAAAAGATTAAAAAACCTTGTTTTCTTGAAACCTTATAAATACAAATTTTTAAAATTTGTAATTATTATTCATATATTTATAAAATAACTCCAAACATATATTAGTTAAATATTTTGGTTTCTCGATTTTCTTTGTTGTTGTTTTGGCTTGACCTAATTTTCAGAACCGAACAAATTAGAATAAATTTAAAAACAATGTTGCATAGAGAGAGTTGGATCGTAAGTATAGACGCACACACACGCGTGCACACAGATTGAGTTGTATATAATTGAGAAATCGAGATGTGAAATAAGAACCCACCATCTTTGGTTGTATCTTTGGCACAGACAGGGAAACATGTTTTGTGACCATAGCCATAGGAGACATATCACTTCTGCACGTGTATACCTCTGCTATTCTTTTATTTTGTCCTTTTACTCCCAATTTCTTGACATTTGTTCACATGCAACCTTCTGCAGTAACTAGTAGTCATGGAGTAACTAGTAGTCACAACAGCTACATAACTATAAATTGGTAGTTTGATACTAACGTCGTTGAATCAATTCTGAAACCGCAAGATTTGTTTGTCAACTTTTATTCGATTTATTTAGGAGTTGATGTTGAGAATGTTTAGAAAAAGATCTGTGGTTTCCACATACATGGATTCTAATTCAATTAGATATTAAAAGTCAAAATTTCATCGACTCAATTAATGTACATATTAAGTATTAACATATCGATATGGTTTGAAACAAACGATTAAAGGTTATCGACTTGCATATTAGAAATGCCCGTATAGTTCGAATTGAGTCTAGTTAGTATCATAGTTTTAGCCTTTTAGATAACAAGACGTACGTATATATATTGTCGACTAATATAAGATAATTTGTTCAGTTTGTGACATGTAGAAGTTCCAGTATAGTTCAATTTGCGTGACTCTTTCCAAGCGGTCGGTGTATTAAACCTAAAGAAGTATAAAAAGGAAAAGCTAAAGAAGTATCCAAGTCTGGTTGTATTGCAGGTTTTTAGTGTGTTTGTTTTTGAGCAGTTGTATTGTGATAATCCAAACGCACATTATGAGATTTTTTATAGAGTTAGAAAAATGATACAATACTAATCTGAATCATACTCTCACACACACATGTTTGTACGATAATATACTGTTGATTTATGTGGAAATTAATAGCTTACCTATCTCGTCATCCGTCTTTAAAAGAATTTTTTTTAATAAGTAAAAACACATTGGATATTAGTAAAATTCAACATTTTCGTCAGGCGATATATTTTGAAACTAGTCATTGTATTTATTCGTGGAAGCTTTTAGAACGCAATGAAAATTAGAAAATCTGAAGCTAGAAGAAACATAGCAAATTTTGTAGAAAAAAATTACTGGGATAAATAAAGAATGAGAGAGATTCATGAAGCAATAATATCGACAATTATTCTATATACTAGGTAATACAGAACCCAGTGTATAGCTGCATAAGTTACTAAGTTAGATACAAATCATTTGAAGTATCAGGCTATTTATTTTTTTAGACTTACCAAGTTGGTTGATGTGGAGATTGTCCAGTTACTTCACAACCATTCATGCTTCCTGGTAATACCACCCTGTCTTCCATAAAGTATTGATGAAAGTAAGAGACTTTCTCTTTGAGCTGTGAATTCTCATGCAAGATGTGACGATTGTTCTCCAACAAGCTAATGACTTTGTCATACAAGTTATAGTTTGATGTCGTGAGTTGTTCAACATGCATTGTCAACTCTTCTATCTGCTTCCTCTTGCGCATCCTCGTTCTTCTCGCTGATTCTCTGTTAGATACCCTTCTTCTTAATATCTTCTCTTGATCCAACATCACAACACTCGCTTCAGGATGATCACAATGGTCATGAACATGTAAGTCTTGATCATGACCATCTTGTGGGTTTTGTAGGTTGAATTGATCGTTTTGGGATGAGTCTCCTTCGAAAAGATTGAAATAATGAGAGGAGTATTGATCTTCAGCCTCCATGTTTGGTTATATTGTTGGAACTTGAGAAAGATTGAGAGCAAAAAAAGACAATCTAAAATTATTTTTGATCAAATAAAGTATATATATATATATATCGTCTTGTTAGCTAAGCTTAAGAGATTAGCAATTAACATTAACGTTCTTAATTGGGTTTTCTTGTTAAGCCTTCTTTATACATTTGTACAATTTTCACCAACTCTTTCTAGTTTAGAGTGTCACCTTTTGACAAATTGTCACTAGCAGTTTCACATCTTTGTCAAAGGTTAATATACGTAACGAGGCACGTTTCAATATAAAAAAAAAATCATGCAATTAACCTAACATTATAGAATATAGATAAAATGTCTAACACATATTAGTATCATTACTGTCACACTAAGTAAAATTTCTTTAAGCAAACAAATATATACATACACATGTTCCTCTATGTAAAAGCTAGCCTCCTAAAGCCTGAACCAGCACACGAGGCGAAACACAATATACAAATAAACAACTAAAGAAAAAGCTTGACTCAATCCAAACATCGAATATACACACATTCTTCAATATTCATTTACCATATATCAATCACTACTTATTCTTCTTTGACTCTTCCTCTGCTCATAATCTACATCATCAGTAGGCAACTCATACCGACAAACAGGACACGTGTTCCTCGTCCTAAGCCACGGTACAATGCATTCACCATGATACTTATGATTACAAGGCAACAAAACAACAGCTTCACTCCCAATACTCATCTCATCTTTACAAACCGCACAATCATCATCCTCAACACCCAACTCAACCACTGGGAGATTCTTAATAAAAGATTCAGAAGCAGGAGGAAAACGGAGATTCGTAATCCCAGCTTGAGCAAACTGTTCAAACAACATATCATACTCAGCTGTATGAATATAATCTTCATGATCACCTTCACCACCAACAATGAACAGCTCTCTGTTCTCCACGTCATAATTGATCTCTAGAGTATGATGAGAGTTCATCAAAACTTGCCACTCAAGATTCCCTGATCCATCTCTTCTCTCTCCTCTCCCTAAATCTTCTAAAGAGAGTAACGGTGCCACGTCAGCACCACCATCAACTTCTTCCCAATCAAATTCATTTCCAAGATCTTCTACATGGAGTGAATGTATAGTCACACTCACATCATCATCATCATCATCATCATTCAAATTGATTCCCCATACATCCCTCTCATCCTCAGGATCATCATCAGAACCAGATTCGATCGTAATTAACCTAATATCACTCCCGATCGATGCGATATCGCGATCATCGTCATCGGATTCATCAAAATCACTATCACGATCTATATTCTCTACAAAACAGCTTCCGGATTCCGATTCTAATTCCGTAACCTCGTTATCGTGAGGGAGAGTAGTTACCTGAGGCTGCTCAACACGCTGCTGCGACGGATCCATGACAGAGGTTACGTCTGTGGAGGAGATGGAAGAGAGACTGAGGCTGGATCGGAGATTCGATTCGTTCGCCGGGAATAACGGCGGAGAGTAGAGAGTAGTCGGTGACGGAGAAGTTACGAGGAATCTAATCGAGAATCTGAGTTAACCATATCCTGAGACGGTGTGAAACGGTGTCGCTTAAAGTGATTTTGTTTTTTTTTTCTCAAACCACTTATACCTGGGCTCATAAAAGGCGCGATAGACCCAGTAAATAGGCCCAAATTAAATTATTTAGAGCATTTTCGAATGTAAAACTCAATTTTTTCTATAAATATTTTAACCTCATTCTGTTTTTCATTTTATAATGAAATAATAAGAAAACAAAAATTACTCCATTTTTAGAATAAATTCTATTGTACAGTGAGAAATTGAGTAGGATTAGAATATTTTATATTCTATATTTCTTTCTGTTTTATTTAGAATAAAAAAATGAAGTTGGATCGGAGATACTTACCGTCAGTGTGACCTTAAGAATCACTCTGCTCACGTCAACATAGCAGCACTTGGTTTGGACGGCCCATAATTTATCAGGTTTTATTTATTTTAAATTCTTTTTTACAGGCTTTTTAGCTTTTATGATTTGATTTTGAAAACGGAAATTTTTAAGCGAGATACTTTTGGACCAACCAAAAAGAACTCTATTACGACACTTGTCGAATGCTAAATGGGCCATTAAATAAAAATAAGAAAAGTGAAGCCCAAGTCCAGGCACGTGAGAGAGAGCCACGACAGCGAAAACAGTGTGGGAACAGAACAAAAGAAAACACATCTTCTCTTTTGTGAGTCTTTCCTCTCTGATGGCATCTATATTAATTACTCCACAGCTTTCGCTTTCACTTTCACGTATTATCTATGGATGGCCCATGAACCGACAGGTCACTTAAGAAAAGATGGCACATGCCATCTCCTTCTATTCCCAACATAATTTATCTTATCTTTCCTTCTCTTAATGACCATTAAAATAAAATTAGATTATCCATTTTCTTATTTTAATTTCTCTACCAGCATTTTTAAATCATCTTCAAGATTGATTATATGAGAGACTTTTTTTATTACATAACAGAATACTATTTTGTTATTGGATTGTCTTTGGTAATGACATAACAGAATACCATATTTTCTACAATTCAATTTAAAGTCGCAGCTTAAAAGTTAAAAGTTTATAAATTTTATTGTTATAAAGATGTAAATTTGAATATCGAGAGAGCAGCACAGACATATTCACAAGAGTGCTATATGGAGTATTCACCAAGGGAATGATAAAAATAACAAGAGTCTTTGTGGAGTATCCACAAGATTACTTTACCTCGAACTTATAACCACAGATACTGTATGTCAGAGTGAAAAGTGGGACCTAAGATTAGTAACTTTTTTCACGTGATACCATCCACGAGAAAGCGACCGGCCACCACCACTTCTCTCCTTTGTAGGCACGTGCTCTCACATCTCCCCTCCTGCCCATTATCATGTACAAAAACAAAAATCTCACCTGTTTTTGCTAATCCCATACCTTCACAAAAACAATAATTTAGAAAAAATGAAAAAAAAAACTGGTTCCGTTTATGATTTGTCTTAAACATCTTCACTATAAGTTAACATTGTAGTTTTATTTAGCTCAAGTAATACTCAGATATTTAACCTTCCGGGGTTTTAAATAGAAGCATATTAATAATACAAAAGACAATACTTATATAAGCTAACGGCAGCTTTGTCAAAAAAAAAAAAAAGAAGCTAACGGCAGCGTTTGGAGTTTAACGGTGTCACTGGTTTCAGCAGTGCGGCGATTACAGGGACCCACCGCACGCGAGTCGGACGGAAGTGTGGCCAGGTTAACGGCAGGGAATGGGACACACGTGACTATGCTGCTCCTCTAACATCTCGCATTCACCTTCTTTTGCTTCCTGTTTTTACGGCCTACACATTAGTAAATCACACGTAGAGTAAAATTAATTTTGTCTTTCAAAAAAAAAAAGGTACAATTAATTTTATCTAGCACACCATTTAATGAAATAAATATTAACAATCATGTTAAAAATATAGATTAACATAAGATGGCCAACGTCTGATGATACTCTCATTACTAAATTTTTTTTAAAAAGTATTATTTTTAGAAATAAAATAATTTTTCTCATCAAGAAAACATAGAGTTGTGATATACTGAAAACAAACAATATACATAAAATTTAAGAACTAGTAAATATAGATTCTAAATTGGTAAAACCAAAAATTTATTATAATTCTTAGTAAATTATCTATATAGCTTTCAAAATTTTATGATAACATGTACATGATTAATGGATACATATTTATGCAAATGTTAGTAGTGTGATTTAATTTAATGCCTTTAATCACTAAAGTTTCTCCTTGTATTTTTCAAAGTACAGTATTTCTGGGTTCACATCTTTCTTTCCATCAACAGTTTAACAGCTTTTGCACGAAAATTTAGCTTAAAAAACAGTTTCACAGTTTTTTTACTTTTTGAATCCATAATTCTAAATAAATTATTGTGGTAAAAAAAAAATGAAACAGGATAGCGTAAAAAATATGTGGGACCCGCAATAATTGAGAGGTGTGAGTTGGCCACGTGATGGATGGGAGGCTGAGTTAAGGGAAGCCAAAAGGTTCTATCACGTGATACGCCGCGATTTATGCGGTGCTACCGCCACGTGTTCTTAACTTCGATCCGCGTACTCGTAGGTTAAACTTTATTTGTTAATTAATTTAATTTAACATGTTACAATAAAAAGAAAATTAATTTCATTTAATACATAGTTATTTGTTAACTGATCCCTAAGAGGATTCCTGTCAATGTACAGAGGAATGTCCTTGACGCAAATACATTTGTTTTCTCAAAAACCACCTTCTCACTTTTCGTTTCCCGAAATAACATATTCCTCTTGTTATTAAATTGAAATATTATTAAGAAAATAACAATGATCAGAGACAACTAAGCCAGCTAACTCAGATGAGATGCGCTTTCCAAACACTCTTTTATGTATGCTAAAGTTATAGAAATCGACTTTTACTATATATATGGAAAAAAGGTTTGATAAATTGTATTGTAGGTAAGTGTACTAAAGAATAATGATAAGGTATTAATAGCTAAAATGTAAAGATATGTTTTGAGTTTTGTTACTAAAGAAAAATGTAGAATCCTTAATCATTAGCCTCTGTATGAACCTAGTGAGTTTGTGATATGAGATATCACGTTGAGTTTATATCGAAATGGACCAAGTATTAAAATTAATGAAATAATAATTTAGTAAAGAATATGTGTTTATTCCATCAATGAGTTTATCCCTAGCTATGCTGTTTTTTCATGGATATAACAATATATATGTAAGATAATATATGCTTTTATTACACATTATGGCTAAAATTTCAAACTTATGGTATATCCTACATCAATTTCACTAAAAGTTTTGGTTTGTGTATAAACATATTAACATGTCTATATTAGTTTTTCTATTTCATCTAAAATATTAGATGTCGGTGTATATAATTTTTTTTATTAAATTAAGTATTATTTTCAATTTTCAATGTAAAAATTATTAATTTTATAGTGTAATTTATTTTTTTATTAATTGAAATATGTTTAGTTATATAGAAAATATATAAAATTAATTATTTTCTTAGTATGTATGCACAAACCAAAATGATACTTAATACTGTATGAGTTAGAGATAGTATTACTGTTGAAAATCAATTTGTGTCGTGACTCTTGAGATTCTATAGTGTTTTTTTCTCACGTGAGTTCCAGAGTCAATTCATGTTGTGCCCACTTGAGCACGAAGAGGCCATCACGCCAAGCTCTTCTTCTTCCCGTCTTTCACATTTGCATTGACCAATTTCTATTTTTATTTTTATCATATCCTTTGATTCCTTTTGATTATCTTTTTCACTTTTTGTAATACTTTTACCAAACCACTATATATATAAACATTTCCTTGTTAACCTAATCAGTTAATTACTTATGCTATAGAAAAACCAAATCTTGAACAAAACAATTGAAAACACATTTTATCAAATAACCATGAGATTGCGAGTAATATCACAATTCACCAGTTATTTGAAAAGAAAAAGAAAGAGACAGAGAACGTGTTAAGACGCAACCTAACAATTACGGGACAAAGTGGAGGGCATGTGGGGATGAGTTATTGTATTTTGCTCTTTCTTTCTTTGTATCATTTTCTTCTTCATATGATCCAACAATATTTAATCACACTGGATATTTATATACACAAATTAAAGAAAACAAAACAAAAAGGGATGGGCATGAATTCATTTCTAGCTCGCATGCAACGATGGGACGGTAATTTATCATCTTGTTCTTATGTATTCCGAACATCATGCTTTTTAAGCGTTATATATCCATCATGATTTTTTTTAAAAAAAAATTCATGTTTGAATAAGTAAAATGTTAAATAAATAATATTTAAAATACTCCGATTAGGAATATTTAAATATACGATTCCTTCAAATACAGACGGACTATATGTATTTGATTTCTCCGAGTAGCCAATTCAAATACTTTTGTTATACATGTAGTGTCGTCTACAAAATTTAGTTATATCTACAATTTTTGAATATAGATACAAATGATTAGAGTCTTGATTATGGCTAGACAATTGTTAATGGCATTGCACAAAGGAAGAGCTGACTTTCTTCCACCTAATGCCACACACATAGATTCACACTCACACAAACACAAACACATAGACGCATACACGTACAAAATTATATTTGCCCCTGCATACCATCAATCATACATCATAGTTTCACTATAAATTTATAAGTATCATTACAAAGAGGACCCATGCAAAATCAGCTGAATTGTATGTCTATGAAATCGATTCATGCATATGTATTTGTGCAGCCAATTTTCACATAGATTTTGGTGGGGCCCCTTATATAGTACCACGCATATGTATTCTAGATAAATAAATTTATTTATAACGGCATGTCGCTAGCTTAGTTTAGGCAAAATGGTGTATCATAAAACACTTGTTATTTGTGAACTTCGCAGCGGTCAGTTTTTAACTATGACCCGACAAAAGTCTAAATAACCTTTTAGAAAATTAGAAATGATATCCAT